CGAAAGGGCAATGGCCAAGTTAATTGCCGAAATGAATTCCGATCAATATGAAGCTAAGGTTAGATTTGGCTAAAAAGGTTTTCATTTTTCATTCAACTTATGTTTTTTCTATTCATTTAGTTAATTTTTTTTTTAAGTTTTAAAGTATCTTTCGTTTTAAGAATTATCCACACACACAAACACCCACTCATACATATACATGTTTACACTACGAGGACACAATCATTACATTACATATGATTAAGTAAACAGCTGATTACGTTAACAGCTGATGGCGTTAACAGCTGATCACGTTAACAGCTGATGTAACAAGGATTTGATCACATAAATAACTGATCAAATAAACAGCTTTTCAGTTGTTTTCATGATTGTATTTTATAATTTGATTGCAAAAATTATCAACATTGATGGTTGGAGAACTATTTTTTTTAAATTTATTGACTCGGAAATAACAAATATTTTTGGACAATCTTTTATTGACGTCTTCTTCAAATCTCCACATACCTTTTATTGCAAAGGACAAAACTATTCTTTAAAAATCAGATTCTAATTTAGACGTTAAAAATGTTTTTTAGAAAAAACTCCTCGTGTTAGTCCTTGAAAAATTATTCTTTGAAAATCCACGCCTATTTTAGGCCCTGGAAAAATATATATGTAAATAATTTACTCCGTGTTTGGTCCTTGGAAATATATACATAATTTAAAAACCACGTCCCGTCTGAGTTCTTGAAAAAATAATCTTTATAAAATCTTGTCTTCAAGTGTCCACATCACAAAAAATATTATTCTTTAAAATTCCACGCCAATATTAGGCCTTGTAAAAAATATGTTTTTTAAGTCCTTAAAAAATATTCTTTAAACCATCTACGTCATTACATTAAGTAAACCTATGGCTAAGATAACTGGTAAAGCTAGGAGTTGGTCAATTAAACAGCTGATCCTATGAACAGCTGTTTGCATTATTGTGAGTTCTTAAAAAAATATTTGGTTGGGGAAAAATAAATTTTGCAATGCAGGAAAAAGATGATAAACGCTTGGTGCCAAGTCCGGGCTTTATGGACTGTAAAACTTCCCAACCAAGCTCCCGAAGTTTCTGGCGAGTCACTGTAGATGTGTGTGGCCTAGCGTAGTCCTGGTGGAACACGACTCCTCTCCTGTTGTTCAATTCTGGCCGTTTCTGGTCAATTGCTACCTTCAAACGTCCATTTGTTGACAGTAGAGATCAGAATTTATAGTTTTCCCATATGGAACTCATAATAAAAAAATCCTCTTCCAATCCCATCAAATGCATAGCAGAACCTTTGACCACGATCGTATTCGAACAGGGTTATCGTATTTGATCCATTTCTCATCTCCAGTCACCATCCGTTTAAGAAATGGGTCTATCTCATTCCGTTGGGCAAGGCTTCGCAGATGGAAATTCGATTCATCCTATTTTTTTGCCGGTCAACTTCCAACATTTATCCGATTTCATCGACATTTTCATAATGGATTTCTTTTTCCCCAACCTAATATTATTTATAATACTCACGACTTGACTTCAAGTCTCCACATCCAAACAGAGCCTTAAATTAGTTCTTTATTACAGTATTCTTTAAAAAACCACACCTATATTAAGGATTAAAAAATATTTTTTTAAGAAATAAACTCTTATTGTGAGTCTTTGAAAAAATATTGTTTTAAAAATCCACGTTATTACATTAAGCAAACATATGATTAAGATAACAGTTGATCACGTTGAACAGCTGTTTACATTGATGTATTTTTTTAACTTTTATATTTGACATGAATTTAGGATCTAAGCATAGTCCATTTCGCGATTTTCTGTCAACAATTGGCAAGCGTTTCAATATGGACCAATGATTGTTTATCTTCGAATTTGATACAGTTCTTGCTTCTTACAGAAACTGTTCCGAGAATAAAACGATCGGAACCAGACGCATATACTTGGTTACATACATGTATTTAATATCGATAGAAGAAACGACATTGGGCGCCAAATAATGGATGATCGGACATTTATATTTTTTAATGATTATGGAAAGGTGGTAGGTACTAGATCAGTCCACATAACTAAATTAATCTACTGCACGAACAATTCCAGGGCCAGGAATGTTTCCTGATAATAGAATAGGCCAATTTAAAAAAATACAATTTGTTTTTAAAATATGTGTGTATTTTTTATTACTAAATTTCAGTATTTTAGCTCCTCTGATTCCAGAAGTCTTAGATCTGCCAAATGAATAATTTACTGTGAAGTCTTAGGTCTGTAAAAGGAATAATTTAGTGTGAAGTGTTTTTTCAGTATAAGTGGAAAGCGAAAAGTGAAAAAATCACGAGGAATCGACGTCCAGAATACGACTGTTTATATATTCTACGCCTCTTTGTGAAAAAGTTGGAACACATTTACACAGAACGTGTTTTATGATAAATCATCATTTAGTCGAGGTTTATGTTGTCATTTCCTTTGTGTATATGTCAAATAAATGATGATTTCCGTAAAACATATATGGTGTAAATGTGCCTTTATTTGGTTTGCAAATGTGTTCAATTGAATGATTCACTAAAAAGAGCACATGAACTAAATCAGTCGTTATAGATAAATGTTCAATGGTTTGGCACTGATTAAATCATAATCAGGATGTCAATTGACAAAATTAAGGATGGATTTTTCAGAGTATGTAAACCTTATATATGAACTATTAAAAAAATATAACTATGAACAAATTTAACGAAGAGCTAATGTGTAAAGAATCGCTCTTTTAAATATACTAAACAATTAAAGTGGAAAAATAAAAAAGCATTGAGGTTTTTAAAAAGAAATTTGAAAAGGTTTTTTTTTGGAAATTTTATTTCAAAAGTTGTAGAAATTTAGTTTTACGTAAATATAAATTATATATAAATATATATTAGTATAACATCACATTAATTTACATAGTCAGATACCGGACAATTTAAACTTAAAATTTCCAGAACTTATTATTTTCCCAAAAAAGAAAACAAAACAAAAACTACAAACCAACCCATTAAATCAAACACCATTTACACATATCAAAATTCCGTAGTGCATACTCTAAAAACATCAATTGATTTTCCAATATTTATTCACCCTGAGTATTTTGTTTTATTTCATATATTTCAAGATGGTTGCCATAAATTTTCTAAAACGTCAGCAATTCCATTCTTAAGAAACAATAAACCAAAACCAATTAAACAATTCGAAAAATAAAACGCACTCATCTTTATCAATTGAATCATAAGTATTATTGCAATTTTTTTAATTTTCTTATTTATTTAGCGTTTGGCATGAATGAAAAATATTTTTTACAGAGAAAAATAAAACTAAAAATAAAATCCATTCAATTTCATCATAATAAAAAAATAAATGTAAACAAATGTTTATTCGCACAAGGTCAATTACTAACAAATAATGGCTTGTGTATGCCCATGTTTTTAATATATTTCCCAAGCAAAAAAAAAAAAAAATAAAACTGACCACTTTTTTTTTCAAATTGTCCATGAAAAAATCCATTTTGTCTTGTTTGGCATGTTTGAGTAAATAACAAAGAAATACTACATACAAGTATTTACTCACAGTATCTATATAGTTCGATCTCTTTCTCGTTTAGTACTTTGTCTCTCTCTCTATCTCTCTTTTAAATCTCTTTAATAAATTCTCTTCGTTTTTCCAAAAATTAATTAATTGCAAATTTTCAGTGCTCCTAATAATTTTGCATGTTGATTAAGCCAGACGTAACGTATAGTCTACACTAACGTAACGTCTTGACTAATCACAGTGAGAGCCAAATGTAGCATCGTAGTGTCATACTAACACCATATATATTTTTTCCTCAAAAATTATTGAACAGCAGCATTCATTTCCTTTGCGAAACAAAAACAACAAACAAATAAAAAAATAAAACATGTGGGGACATATTTCTAAAAATGATTTGTTTTACTTTTCACTCTCTCTCGCTCTCTGTTCAGAGATTATTTTTGTGTGCAACATTACTGAATCAATTTTTATTTATTTTATTCATCCACAAATTCATTTTTTTTTTTCATTTATTCTAAATGGCTCTTGGGTTGAAATAACGAGGGAAATAAAAATGTGATAGAGTGCGTTTAGATTTACCAAATTGAATCAATTTCAAATGTCATTCACATTGCGTTTACGTAAAGTAAATCCTATTCATAAATCCAGTGGATTTGACATTTGAAATAATTTTTTTCATAAATCTAAACTTAATTCCATATATGATGCAATAATAGGGTGTTATATAAAAACAAAAACAACTGTTCTGTATTCGACCATTTGTCAGAAGTTATCTAGTAATATTTCTCATGGTTGCCAACATTGTACGATGAATTCAATTATAAATCAAGGTCTATTAATAAGGTCATCCAGGGAGACCAGCTATATTTCAGATCCCTCTCAAGTTTGCTGTCAAAATCCATTACAAAATTGTAAACAAAGTCCAAATTTTTGACATTAGACTTGAGAAAAAACAGCTGCCTTCCGCTAGCTAGGAGATCTTATTGATTGGTCTTGGTATAAACCATTATGAAATAATAAGGTCATGTATCAAAACAAAAACATTTGTTTTTTGTCTAGACCATCTGTCAATTTTTCCATATAATATTTCACATGGTTGGCAATATTGCACATCGAATTCAATCAAGTCATCAGCTGCGCTATTTATTGTGCCATAGTATAAACAATGGTACAATAAAAAGGTAGTGCATTTAGTGCAGCTGATGTCTCGATTACCTGTCAGAGTGCGTAATTTCTACTTGAATTCGATGTGTAATGTTGCCAACCATATGAAATATTATAAGAAAAAATTTGACAGATGGTCGAGACAAAAACAAAGGTTTTTGTTTTGATACATCACCTTATTGACTGTTAATCGGATAGTCAGCTGCGCTAAATGGAGAACCTATTTATTGTGTTATGAATATATATTAATAATAGTGACATCGTATCGCGAAGTAATTGCTCGTTCGTCATTTATTTATTTTCATGGTTTATACAAGTCTGAAAGTAATAAATTTTAT